AAGTAAAAGATTATCCCTAAATTCAAAAAGCCTAAAAATTGGATATATAGTAATCTCTATGAAACCATTGGGAACGAAAGGAGGCTTATGAAATGGAATGCGTTACCATGGTTTCTTTTTTTAAGTAACCACCATGGCTACCTCCTTTTTGGCCATACAAATTATGTAAATCCAATCTGAGGGCCCACTTTGCTGAAGGGTGTTTTCGGAAGGGACCCACACGATCACTTTGCGTCCTTACTGGACCCGAAATCAGAGGGGGATTTTCATTTCCCCACGCTTTCCTTCTTTATTATTTCTCTTTCCTTATCAAGGCCTCTCCCAAAACCTTTTCCCTTTTGTAGAAAATTCTTCAGCGGCACCCCTTTGCTATTCCGCCGTCACATTCTATCCCCGCTGCCGCATTCTCGCTCCGGCGCAGTGGTCTCTCTCCATTGCCAGCCTTCTACCCTCTACCATATCCGGCGATGGTTCGACGTTCACGATCGCGATTTCTCCCCTCTGATAATGTGTACAAGGAAGAAATTTTTCCTGTCGGAAATCGGGTACTAACAAAGCCCTACGCTGATTAAACTACCTTATAATTAGTTACCGTAATTATCTCTCCCTAATTAACTACGTAATTAAAATGGTAGTTTGAATTAGGATGGAAGCAAAATACCCTTCTTATCCCTAATAACCACGGTGGTTACTAACACTAAGTATCCACCATAACTTGTCCCGCATGAAATTTATAAATTTAAATTGAGAATAGAAGGTGAACCCAAAAATAAAAATACGTCCGAAAAAAAAAGAATTTTTTGTAACATATAACCGAGAATCTATTAAATTAGAAGATTGAAAGTGAAATAAATAAAGAACGGTTACAACAGTGCAACAAAATTCATCTCTCCCAATCATCCACAAATTAACAAAAAGAAAAAAAGAGAGAGAATATAATTACCTACCTTTAAAGGGAAACTTTGTTATAGAGGAACTCCGACAATCAGAGCTTAGGAAAGGAGAAAGAGATTGCCCTCCTTTCGTTGAATCATAGATCAACCACAGTTGGGTTGTTTAAGTAACCAGTAACCGTGAAAATACAACTAATGTTTGAATATTTTTGCCCCCACTCGGACACCCAGCTAACTTTCAGGTTGTTCCCCGTTGTCGTCCAATCTCGCAGTCGGCCCATCCGAACTGCTCTCCAGAAACTTCAAGACATCTTTTGGGGGCATTATAAATCAAAGCTTTTTGGCTCGTCGCGAATATCAAAATTAAACTTCCAATTATGGCCCAAGTATAAACCTTAATTGGGTGCAATATAGGGCAAGTATGTTTAAATATCAACCCGAGCCAGTCAATGTACCCCTACTTCGATTGTTTGAAACATTATCTAGCGATTGGTTGTTTGATTGAAAACTACGATCTACTATTAAAGCGGTTGCAAAAGTAATTGGTTTTGACTCTTAAATGAGAAGGATTCACCCAGGTGTCGCTCCTCCTAACTCGCTACCATGACTTGTAGGAATGACTGAAAATGTATGGTGGAGGTGATTGAGAACCGTAAGTGAAGTGTAGCTAGTGATCGAACATCACTCTCTCGGTCCCAAGGCCAAGTGAAGTGTAGCTAGTGATCGAACATCAATCTCTTCATTCTATATACCATGAGTAGGGGGTGGAAATTGGGGTGGTGTGTGGTTACCCGCCCACATTTTTTTGGTTAACTACACACAAACATATAACTATGCTACCCACAACCTGCACAGTTGTGGTTAGTGGTTAACCATTTTTGTCAAGATCAATGTTTCAATTTGTCACGGTTAATGGTGGGTAGTGGTGAATCAGTGACGATTAATGAGTTTGCATGAATTGATGATAGTCGATGGTGGCTAGCGATAGAAGATATGATAATTATCAATGGTCGGTGTAGTGTGGTTAGAAAATATGATGATCATTCTATATCATAAGCAAGAAACAACTTATTGTCATGTAAAACTGGAGTATGGGTCATTCAGGTGGCCCACAACTCACTCATTAACCACCCATATAAGTGCAGATAGAAAATTTTTATACACGATCCACGTGCATCAATCACCTACCATTATGATTTGAATTATTTGTAAATGGAGCAATATAGGCATTAATCACTCATATACCCACCCTATATCAAACAGTGAATCGGATTATTGATTTCTAAGAAACTTAAACTTTTATCAGTAAATTCGACTCCTCACATTCTCGTGAAAAACATATACTTTTTGATGTTTTATTTAAAGAAATTATACAAAAATCACTCTTAAGTGACGGCCACTGGGCACTGGCGAGCACGCGGAAGATTTGGCTGGAGCTTGGAGTGTAGGATTTGAAAATGGCAGAAAGAAACAAATTCCAGCTAAGAATGTTTTGGGACGGATGCATTTGGCATTTTGGATATTGGGAATAAACCTCCCACAATTTAAAATATAATATATAATAATTGGATCATCGACCGAATAGTAAAGAGAGTGACTCAAAAGGTCACTCAAAAGGAAACGACGATGAGTTGACGCATTTTCGTTAATCCCATCACTGAATAATCAAAATACACAAAACTCCAAGTTTAGTGAATAATGTATGGAGGAGGAGTTTACAAGGAGCAATTCTTAGCTCCAACTTAGTTGCACCTAGCCCGTTCAACCTGCTTACAGGTTCAAAAAGCTAGTGATTTGTTTTTTGCTAGACAAAAGTTGAAACATCTAAAGAGCTTGATCAAAACTTGGATAGAGAGGAATTTGGTCGCGTGGACAGGAAAATTGCAGAAATCCTGGATAAGATCAAGGATATAGACAGGAAGGAGGATGAAGGTTTGGCGAGTGATGATGATAGGCTTGCTCGAAGCAACCTCAAATGCAATCTCGATCATCTGTTGAACTTGGAAGAGATCTCGTGGCGTCAGAAGTCGCGGGAGATCTGGCTTAAACTTGGAGATAAAAATTCTAGCTACTTTCATAAAGTGGCAAACCACAATAGAAGAAGAAACTATGTCTTGAATATAAAGGTCAATGGAGTACAGGTTGAAGGCAAAGATGAAATGAAAGTGGCTATTGTTGAGCATTTCTCCGACAAGTTCAGTGAAACGTGTCCAAAGCGGCCCTTCCCTACTATTTACGAAAACTATAGGGTTTTTGCCGAAGATGCTGAACTTCTTACAAGAACCTTCACTGAAACTGAGGTGTGGAATATTGCCAGACATTGTAGAGGCGACAAGGCTACTGGTCCAGATGGGTTCTCTTTGGCTTTCTTCAAGAAACATTGGGGTGTGGTTAAAGAAGACATGATCAAAGCTTTTGAATACTTCTTCCAAAATGGTACTCTCCCAAAGTTCATGGCTCATTCTTTCGAGTGCCTGGTTCCTAAAAAGGATGCTGTTGAGCACATCCGTGATTTTCTCCATCAGTCTCCTTGGAAGCATCAACAAGATGATTTCTAAAACTATTATAGAGAGACTTCGTCCAATCCTAATGAATGCTATATTCGGTAACCATTTCGGTGGTCTTAAAGGGAGACAGATTCATGAGGCGCCCCTGATTGAAAATGAATTGATTGATAGCAGGAAAAAAGTGGGAAGCCGGGATTGATTTTTAAACTCGACATTGAGAAGGACTTCGACAACGTCAACTGGAATTGCCTCCTCAAGATCTTGAACTGCCTTCATTTTCCACAAAAATCTTTGGTTTGGATTAAAGGTCTGGTTACTTCCCCTTTTCTGTCAATCCTTGTTAATAGTGAGGCGGCTGGCTTTTTCAAAACTAAAAAATGACTGCGTCAGGGCGATCCAATCTCACCTTTCCTTTTCCTTCTTGTGATTGATGTTCTGTCGTTTATGTTGGAGACCTTGAGGTGGGATGGACTTTTTTTGGGTTTCTGTATGGATGAGTCAAGGTCCAAAGGTGAGGTGACACACCTCCTTTATGCCGATGATACCATTATCTTCTCTGAGGCTAACAAGAACCAGGTTCTGAATCTGTTGTCGACTTTAGTTTGCTTCCAGACTGTTACCGGACTGAGAATCAATGTTGAGAAGAGTATGATATATCTTGTCGAAAATGTTACCAACCCTGGTTTTTTTGCGAATATCTTTGGATGTGGTTGGAGTTATCTCCCTACTATTTATCTTGGGTTGCCTCTCGGTGCTAGTCCAAACTCCAAGGCAATATAGAACAATATTTTGGCAAAATTTCAGTCTAGGCTGGAATGCTGGAGAGGTAATTTCTTATCCCTTGGTGGTAGGATCACTTTGTGTAAAAGCAGCTTATCTAGCCAACCAATCTACAAGTGCTATTTACTGAAGGTGCTGAAATCTGTTATTCAAGAAACGGAAAGGATGTAGCGAAGTTTAATCTGGTCAGGAGCACAAGATAAGTGGAAATACCACCTCGTTCGATGGGACGTGTGCAAGACAACTAAGGAGAGAGGCGGTTTGGGTATACTGGACTTCGAGTGTATGAACTCGACTCTGTTGGCGAAATGGTTTTGGAAGTATGCTTCTGAGCCCCACTCCTGGTGGAGACAACTCATTGAGTTTAAGTTTCCTAACCCGACAACTGTTTGGAGGGCTAGGACAAGTAACGGTACCTTGGTGTGTTCTATTTGGCAGAATATTATGAAGGAGGAGGATTGGTTTTGGAATCTCTCTTACGTCACGCCTGGGGGAGGTGCTTGGGTGTCGTTCGAGAATGACTGCTGGCTGCCTGGCACTATTCTGAAGGATGCTTTTCCGAGAGTGACCACTGCGGCTTCAAACCCAGATGTGTGGGTCATGATGTGATATCCTTTGATTATGAGAGAGTGGGGTGGATTTTACAGTTAAATTTTAGCTTAAGGAGAGGTGCCGAGCGAGAAAAACTTGATCTGTTTCAAAAATTATATCTATTACCAAATGATTTTATCTCTGCAGGTCCAACCAAAATCATGTGGGAGCAAAATTTCTTGGTGACACCGACTTTCCTGATCGCGTTATCTAGAAGCCTGAAGTGCCTATGAAGGAGAAGGCCTTCATGTGGATCCTGACGCATAAAGGCATTCTCACTTACGATAATATGATGAAGAGTGGGTGGAATTTGGCGATCATGTGCGTGCTGTGCAGGGCTACTGTTGAAGATATTAATCACCTTTTTGTCCACTGTTCCTTTAGCTGCAGTGTTTGGAATCTCCTCCTTATTATGGTTGAGATGGGTGGCCTTTTTGAGGACGACGTTGCTTCCATTTTTAAGGGCTGGCCGGTTGTTAATCCTAACACTTGGATAGACTGTTTCAAGAATGGACTCATTCATGCTTTCACTTGGGAGATTTGGAAAGAAATGAATGCTCGTGTGTTTCGAGAGACCTCCAGACCGCTACAGATCATTTTTTACAAAACTTGCAGGTCTCTGGCTTATTGGATGTCAGCTCATGGTGTCCTCACTGACCAACATAAGTGGCTTGCAAGGATGCATCAGGTCTGCCCCCTGCAGCAGCTAAGGAGTACTCGCCCCCTGCAGTTGGAAGATGGGGCTAGTTGGGTTGGGTTGATTGCGGCAGAGGATTAGTTGGGGTTCTCCCTTTTGTTTTTGCTGGTTTTCTTTGGTTGTGTCTTGTTTGTTTCTTAGTAGGCGGGTGATTGTCTTGGTCGTTGTCCAGTTTCGTGTCCTGTCTTCTCCGCAAAGGTGGTTTGGTCTATCGAGCGCGTGCTTGTTGGTGTCTTGACAGTTAGTTTTTGTTTTGTTTTTCCTTCTTTCTATGTTCTCAGGATCAGGCCTTGTGATCCTTGTTTTGTGTATGAACTTTCGTTGTTTTTCCCGTTTGTTCTTTATTAAAATCATCACACTTATAAAAAAAACCCACCTCATACCACCATGGTTTGGGGTGATATATTATGATACACAATGTTGAAAGTCATAAATGATAGTTAGTATACTCTTACTATCATGTATTCAACAATCATACACTTTTGGTATATTCATACCACCATTATACGCTCTCATACCATATGGTATGCTCTTATTCAATATCAATCAATACCATCATGGTATAGACAGGTAAAAATTGCCTCAATTTTTTTTTGTACCTAAATTTTAGTAGCTAAACTTTTTGCATTTTACATATTGGTCCTAGGCTAAGGATGTCATTTGGATTCATGGATAATCTACCAAATCACTTGATCCAATCCATGAATCTACCAATCAATTTGATCCAATCTATTTGATTCATGGATCTACCAATTCATGAATCCAATCCACTCGCCACCTCTTGATATGAATGTTGATGTGACGGATTTTGGTTGGGTTATTCATGGTTATTCACCACAAATTTACTGATCTGATCCGTTCCTCAGCTGCTGACACCTATTTTCACACTAACATCATTCTTAATCACCTAGCTAAATGGTAAGTTATGATTGTATACGTGTCTCCTAGGTTCCAGTTGAGGGCATGTGGATGGGCCTAATTAGCTAAAACAAATGACCATGGATTGAAATACCGTACCGGAGGTCGTACCAGAAAAGTTAGCAGTAGGATATATTATGTTAAAATTGTGGTTTAACCATGGTTCAACCATATTATACCACTAAATACCCTCTAACTGTTTTATTTCAAGTAGAAGGATTTTCAGGTCGAACCGTCGGTACGGTACGGTATTTTAATCCTTGCAAATAACAAGAAAAATAAAACGACAATGGGGGAAGGGAGGAAAGAAGGAACTAACTAAAAAGATGTGGCTGAGAGGCCACTCGGCGGGCTGCTAGTTGCTATGTTCTGGTGAGTGCCCACTCCATTCATTTCCTACGCGCAAAGTCTTGAATGCAAAACAGGTGGGCGGTGGGAAGCGTTTGCTTAGCTATTGTCTAGTAGTCTCATTTCACCCCACAGTCGTCAATATGATTGATTAGTGGAACCCATCCTACTCCTACTCCATTCCTTCGACTTTTTTCTTTTCTCATCGCCATCTTATATACTCTCCACGCCGACCTCATGCCAATGACCCACGCGGATACCGGCTCTAGATTCTAATACACATTCACTTATCACTATTACTTACAAGGAATTTCGGGGTTTTAGGTAAAATAAAAAAATTGGAGTATAATGTAAATCATAAAATTGAATATCAAAATGGTAGAATTTTATGGTTCTTATAAGAATAAACATTAAATAATATTAATGAGGCAAATCACGAAGAACACAAAGATACATAACAGTTAATGAGTTGACTTGAATTAATAATGATCGATGGTGGATAGTGAGAGATAACTAGATGATGTGATGGAGGGGAAGAAGAAATGTGTTATGTGTTATGTTTTACAACGGAAATAAGTAAATCTAGGCATCTAGCCTAAAGATTTGATCGTATTCCTTTAATTCTCTTCCATTTAGTCCATATTCAATCAATTCAACACAGACCTTAAAATTGTTAAAACCCTTGAAAATCATAAGATTTCTAAGATTTAAATCGTGCACGATTTTAAGGTCCATAGTTTTTATAGTAAAATTCGAATCAAAACAGGTAAGTATATCTTAAGATATATAGTAGAGTTTAAGGATTTAAATTGCAATTTTGACTACTCTGCTTGCAAGTTAGGACAGACAATAATTGAAGGAAGAAACTCTAACTCATTGTTTGGTGATACTTGATATGAAAAAATTAGAAAAAAAACTTATGAACTAGTAAGGGTGGGGATGAAACCAAGTTCTAGCTACATTGTTTTATGCATAGTAACAAAATTAGAATAGTTGTAAATATAAATATTAGAGAGAATCAAGATAAAACAGGTCAAAGACAATGTAGGTTGGAACTTCAATGAGAGTATGAGACTTATGCCCCGTCTCACACTATTAATGAGAGTTGTAATACCCATGGAGCAGGTCAGATCAAAGATGCTATCCCCGCGACCGTCACCTCTTATAAGAAGTAGGGGTGTCAATTCGGTTAGCCAAACATAAAACCAATGTAGATTGTTTGTCCAAACTCCAAAATCAAAATCGAATCGTTAAGAAAACGGATTTGGTTTCGATTGGAACACATCAAAAATTGAAACCCATGCACCCTTTGTGATAGTTCTTGTTAGAGCATGATCCGGTTTGATTTTGGTTTCTTATCGGTTTTTCGGTTTAAATTAAAATGGAAACCATTAAAATACAAATCGGTTCGAGACCAAAATCCCGAAACCAATAAGGTTATTATTGGTTCGATTTTGATCTAAACCACTAAATTGAACCATTTCGCCAGGCCTAATCAGAAGCACTATGATGAAGAAGCATAATGAGAAGTTATTTCGAAGAGTCATGTATATGAATCAGTAAGGGCACTAACCTTTAATTATTGTTTAATTACTACAAAATAAAACAGGATACAAGAACCTTCGAAGAGTCATGTATATGAATCAGTAAGCCAAACTTGGTTCAGTTAGAATAGTGTGGGCACCTACACCGGCACCTAGAAATAGAATTGACGAATAATGCCACATAACATGAGGCCAACGCCCAAGTTGCAACTTCGTCCTCATTTCTCTCAGTCACTGCCCAGCTGCCTGTAAATAAATAAACAACAACAATAAAAATGTAATTAGATAAACAAAATTTAAGAGGAAAAGAACAACTACTTCCGTGGTGATTACTGATTTGGGCGTCGTTTTCGTTACAAATCGAAATCAGAATCTTCGAATTAGCAAATGTTTTGATCATAAACCAAACGATACATATTTTTGCTGGGTATACTGATCCATCCCAACTGCCAACGTAAGCCTTTCTCCATACTAATCAAACAAACTGGTAAAAGATACAAGAGTACCAGCAGCAGCAGAGAAGTGCACAAAAACGGCATTAATTGCCATAATTAATTTCTGCTCATTATTGTTAATCTTTAGGCAAATTATTGTTAATCTTTAGGCAAATTATTGCAAATTAATTCATAAACGTCACATTCAGTCTGTTCCGTCTTACCAAATTAATGTGCAGCTGAAATTTGTCAGTTTGCAAGTCAGTAAAGTTTTTCATCCCATCCATTGTCGTCGATGATGTGATGTAATCATTCCCAACCGACTGATCATTTACTTGTGATGTGCTAAATCTTAAATGGGAAACTATTGTCTCAATTTGTGGAAACTTATCATTAAGGGGTTGTTTGGAGAACATGATTTATTATATGAATTTATTAAATCTAGAGATTTAAACAAAAACCTTGTTTTTCTGCCACAATTAGTATATCTAGATTTAAGTTTTGGGATTTAAAATCTCTAAAAAATAGAGATAGCAAATCTCTCTAAAAAGTAGAGATTTTAAATCAACAATTAATCGGAACAACTTTCCCAACAATATCCCTCTCTTCGTTTTATGATTATCCCGCCCTTTCCTTTCTTTTTTTTCACTGCGTTGCCTTCCCTTCCTCTCTTCTATTTCAACCCAGAAAATATTTTGTCCACTCTCCTTCTCTGCCCAACGAGGAACTGTGTCAAGATTGCAGCTCGTCCCGCAACACATTTGCTCTCCTCTGTGTTAACAGTTGTTCGTTGTGTGGAGGTATGTCTTTCCTTCATTTCATCTCTTCTATTTCGACACTTGTGATTGCCCTGTTGCTTTGATATCATGATTCCTTATTGCTTTGGAATTTTAATGATATTATCCCTGTAAACTTTGAAAGAATGGTGTGAATTTGACTTGGATATGTTCGTTGAATTCTAGGATCTTATCCTCCCCTGTTTCTTCTTTGTATTTTGTGCTTAGCTGCCTTGTTTGCTCTAATCCCTTATGGCTTCCTCTTCATGATTAGTAAAAGCACAATATTGGAATTTGTATGTGTGGTGCTGTATTTTGAATTTATGATATATGCAGCAACCAATGGTGAGTTGCTCAGCATGAGTGACGCAACAGAGAAGGTTGTTAAGTGAGGATGTTATGTGTTGCACCATGCGTTAGTTAGAATCTGAAATTGATTTGATTTTGCCGCCTTCTTTGTTGAGGGCATGTGAGTCATTTAACTGAAATTTATATATTATATTTTTACTAATCACAATTACCAAACACTGAACTTTTTAGAATCATATCCATACAATCTCAGTCGTTAAAATCTCTAAATTCGTTAAAATCTCTAGATTCACACTCTCATTCTCCAAACGACCCCTAAGTTTGAACCATTCATAGTAGGAGCAATTCTACTATGCTATATAGTATTGGTGCTTTAATGTACAACTTGAAGTTGTACCATAACATTAAATGTACAAGTTTAGGTGGTACCATAAAGGAATTTGTATCACTATGTTATGGTACAACTTTACAACTTGAAGTTGTACCATCACATAAGGTACAAGTTTAAGTTGTACCATAAAAGAATTTGTACAAAAAGTATAGGTACAATCTGAAGTTGTACCATAACATTAAAGGTACAATTTCAAGTTGTACCATAAAGGTAAAAACCTATAGCACCAATGCTATATAGCATTGTAAAATTCCTCTTCATAGTAGGACAAATTGTTTGAATTCTAGTTGCGGTGAGTTAATGATACGAGTTGGATTGGATATCTCCATTTTTTGGTGGAAGTCGACTAGATTTCTCCTTTTTTTTTTTACAAAAGATAATCATATATTGATCAGAGAAAAGATAGTTACATCATGGAATTGAGTCAGATCAAAAAATCAAAAAAGCGACACGCAGTCGGGTACAAAAGAAGGGCCTTCCTAGCCACCAAATGGGCTACCCTATTACTACACCGACCTACAAACCGCACACTGGACCCAGTAGAACCTCTTTAAGAAGGGACCCACCCTACTATCCCTGACCTCAGTAGATTTCTCTTGTCTTGACGAGAATGATCAGGGGTTTCTATTTCTCAAAATTTGTTTGTCTCTCATTCAATTGATTCCTTACTTAAATACATGAGTTGGAAAGAATCTATCTAAGCGAACAAACTCCACATTTTCCTCTACTACTACTACACTTTCTCCACTAAACGTGGAGATGCTTATTCACAAGTCACCACTAACTCTAACAACATCCACCGCTAACTCTAACAAACTTGCTACATAGCGTAAGGCCTCACTCTTAATAGGTTGGGCTACTCCTCATCGTCATGGCAGCGGTGTTGGGTTACGACACTCGAAATTAAATGAACGATGTATGGGGGCCATCAGTGATCAATTAATCAATGATAAAATCAAGCAGTGGAATGTAAATGGTGGATGAATCGGAATTTTTACAAAACAAGTTTCTAAGACCCTTTTCACAAAATTGTAGGGTCTTTTTTTAACATGCAGAACATTTTATAACCAAAATATCATTCGCTTTGAGTTTAGATCCGCACGATTTTGTTTTGGGTAATTATTAAGGTGATTTTCCTAGAGGTCACTCATCCTTCCAATGCTCCATGGCGAGCATGTTAGGGAAACAATAGGGAAGAGATTGAAGGCGTGATTTAATCACTCTTCGTAGAGTGTTATTTGCCCCCACTACGAAATTGCTGGTAGGATTTAGGCAAACCACCCCTAGGAGTTCCTTCAATCAAAGAAGAAGAATGTTTGAAAAGAAGATTGGCTACATAAGTCTTTTATTGTGAAAACGGCAGTTTCCTTCCGAAGGTTACGTCATTTCACAAAAATCAAAAATCAAATAATTATCTAGAATTAATTAATTAAAAATAGTTCTGGTAATTAATTAGCCAAAAATATCAAATTAAATTGCACACACTCACTTTAAAATCCACTTATTACGTTATTCAATAAAATAAAGTAGTTAGCTATGCTATAAACCACTTGCACTTTCCTTCCCCCACCAATGTGGTAATTTACTCATTGTTGACTACTCTAACACGTCTAAGCTCGGAATTTTTACCAAAACTCTTCCATTCATCCCAAATGCATCTTTTCAGTTAATATCGGTTTCTTACTTATAAATCTGATGTTGGATTTTCCTCAGGTGTTACAGTTTTCCTATGAGAAAATGTAATCTGTTATTTTTATATAAAGTGCTAATACAACTACAACACCCGGACTATCCGAAAAATGCCACTTGTGTCCTATTGTTTCCAATATTCCATCTGTGTCCAGAACTATTATTCCGTTAGTGTTGACCGTTAGTATTTAACAGAAAATCCAGTCAGCGTTGACGTGGCATCTGACGTGGAATTTTCATTATCAATTTTCATTTATTTTTTCATCTAAAATAATTAAAATAAGGAAAATAAAAATTATGGAAAATTACAAAAATAAAACAATAACTCAAATCAATTCACTTTCTTTCTCTGCAACTTCTGAAGAAAAATCCGCTGTAGAGGTTGGAGAGGATCCAAGAGAGAGAAGGAAATCGGCAACGATGAAGACGGGGCTGGAGAGGATCCGAGAGAGAGAGGGAAATCGGCAACGATGAAGACAGGGCTGGAGAGGATCCGAGAGAGAGAGGGAAATCGGAGAAATCAGGCGGCAAGTTTTCACCTCTCCAACTCTGCCACATCTCCACATGTCGTCGATTCATCTCCAGATCCGGGAGAGCAAAACCCTAAACGCACCATATGGTCCGCGAGACTATCACAGATGTTCAAGCTCTCGATGTGTCTGTGCTTGCTGAGCTCCTCGAATAAGTCCTGGTAGAAATCCTCGAAGTGGTCTTGGATCTTGCAAGGGTCGAGCCCCTGGGACTGGGAGGCAGGGTCGACGCCAGGAGTGAGCATGTCGGGGCTCTGGTACATGTTGGCGAAGAGGATAGTCGGACTGATGTTGGGTTTCGTGTGAAGCCGAGAGCAGCGGTCGCCGTGGCGACAGGCACTGATATTGAAATAGAAGGGGTAATTGACCCTGCCCTTCCAAATTCCTAATCGGGAGAAATCAAAGAGAAAGGCGACATGGATGGTGAGCAGCTTATATTTTTTATTGTTATTTATGGGGAGTTTTTTATTGTAGAGATTATTTTTTTTATTTTGCTGTTTTAGAATATTATTTAGTAATATTCTTGAATTTAAAGTTTTTTCAATTTTTTATTTTCAAAGTTTTATGAAATTTAAATTAAAAATGTGAGATGTCAATGACTTGGCATTGCCACGTAAGTAAAAGTCAATGTTAAGTTGACCATCGTTTGATCAATTGTTATCTTTAACAGTCAACAAAATTAGTAGGATACAAATGGCACAAAATATAACAGTTCGTGACATGAATGGAATATTGGAAACAATAAGACACAAGTGACATTTTCCGGATAGTTTTGGTGTTGTAGTGGTATTAGCCCTTAGATAAATGATAAAATGAGCAATATTGAATCTTAACATTAGATACAGAGGATTTTCATTATCATAGCAAAGAAAGCGCATCTTTATTAGGGTGGCCTAATCTTCAATACTACATGTCAACTTGTGGAAAAAATACAAAAATACACACTTTAAAAAAAATCCAAAAATACACAGTTTTATGAAAAATTCCGAATCTACACATGTTTGGACATCACCGCGGAAGTCAACCGCGGTGAAGGCATTCACCGCTGCAGACTAAAGCGGTGAATGGATCACCGCGGTTGACGGTCGCGATGAAGGCCTGAACTAAGGCTGAAACTTCAAATTAACGTAACTTCGTGCCGGTTATCCGATCTTATTGATTTTTTTTATTACGCATAAATTTTCAAGATCTTTCAATCTACTATAGGCCTTCATGCAAAAAAATGTCATTTGCTACCCCGAACATGCAATTTTTTTATTTTTCCAAACTTTGGAAGGCCATAACTTTATGCTCCTCAATCCGAAAGTCGTAAAAAAATTTTAGATTGAGCATAACTTTTTAAGAACTACAACTTTTACTAGGAAATAATTTTCAAAACAAGAAATATTTTGGGTATACGGGATTTTCGAAATAACTTTGCATTTACTTTTCACAAATCCACATACATTCCAAAATTATGGTTATGATGAAAGTTGTAGTACTTCAAAAGTTATGCAAAATCAAAAAAAAATTCATGACATTCGGATTGCGAAGCACAACGTTATGGTCTTCCAAAGTTTGTCAAAATTGAAAATTGCTTGTTCGGGGTAGCAAACGATATTTTTTTGGGATGAAAAATACTTGCAGATTGAAAGATCTTGCATAGTTATGCAAAATAAAAAAATCGCTACAATAGGATAACCGAGTGCAAAGTTACGTTAATTTAAAGTTCCAGGCTTAGGTCAGGTCTTCACCGCGGCCGACAAACGTGGTGAAGCCTTCACCGCGACGTCGACTGCGGTAATGCATTCACCGCTTTAGTTTGCAGCGGTGAATGTATTCACCGCGGTTGACGGCTGCGGAGATGCCCAAACATGTGTAGATTGTGAATTTTCATAAAACGTGCGGATTTTAAGAATTTTTTAAAAAACATGTGTATTCTGGGAAAATTTTCTTAACTTATTGGGGTTGAAATTGAAAGATGCAGCTGCTTGAGGATGGTGAAATTGGCCTTGGTCTGTTGGCTAGTTGTAGAAAGATAGTTGGTATAATCCCTTAGTGTGTATTGATTAACTAGTCATCCTCTGCTTAGTAAGTTCCCGATTCAGTAAAGATCATATTGGAAGTGTAAACCTAAAGAGCAGTCTTTAGTTGTTTATTCTCCTTCCTTATTCGAGTAGGATTGTATTAGGTTTTATACTTCTGAAACCTATAAATATTGTAACGTGGTGAACCTAAGGCTTTAAGCCGTAATAATACCTAAAATCCGAGAGGGAGATTCTCTCCGTGGACTAGTGTCATCTTGACGATACCACTTTAAAAAACCTCGTGTGTTCATGTTTATGATTTTCTTAGCTTGATAAATTGACATGGTATCAGAGCCTCGCAAAATCTGATCTTTACCTCCTGGTTCATCACCGCCTTCCTCTAACTCGACCTCGCAACATTCCTCTTCAGGCCCCGATCAACATCTGCATCAAGAATCTCCTTTTGTGTTACGTCGATCCAATCGTACTACTATAGGACAACCTCCGTTGAGGTTGCATATGATACTTGGGACGTCTCGTCTGAACCACTTACTATACCATCCACATATTATGAAGCCAAAGGAAATCCCAATTGGGACCGAGCCATGGACGTCAAAATTGATGCCCTTGAGGCAAATGATACTTGGGACGTTGTACCTAGACAAGCTGAAATGCTAGTAATAGGCAGCCGTTGGATCTATAACATCAAGATGCTGCCAGACGGTGGGATTGAACGATTCAAGGCTAGAGTAGTAGCCCAAGGTTTTTTCGACAAGAATATGGGATCGACTATGATATGTGCTTTTAGTAGCCCAAGTAAAATTTTACTAACTAAAACAAAATTAAATAAAATCTTGGAACTAAAAGCACATTATATACAAGAAGGGTAGAGGACAGTTTGCTGTTGCTACAGTTGCCACTAAAATTTTGGTGCCATAGGTACGCGAGCACATGTAATACCCACTGTCTTGTACTCTACACACATTGCAAGAGAGCATGATATGTGATTCTATGCCTCTATGTCTATCGTGACTAGAGAAATAAGAAAGAATGTATTTACCTTCAAAGTTGGGAAATGAAGGTAGCCAATGAGACATTGTGTAGGCCTGATGGTGAAAGGAAGGGGAATTTGGAGGTGAGGATGAGGTATTATCACCAATATGAAGTTAGTAATTTAGACGGTTAACTTCCTTAGGAGTAAAACAAATATAGGGTTGAAAAACATCACTTTTTGAGTAACTGTTATAGTTCATCACTTAAAGTTGATGTGTCAGTAGAACTTTCTTGTGAGACAAATCCAACAAACTTGGGATTGCGTTGAGCATTTACCTTATTTCCTCCTTAATTATCTATCAATCTCATTCCTTTTGTGTAAATAGTTCCAAAAATGACTTAAAAATAAAGGTGTTACCACCATATGGTAAGTAATTGGTAACGAGAGGTAAAAAAAAATCTCTCAAAAAATATGGAAAAAGTATGTCATTTTGTAGATCACAATGAACTCCTTTCATTTGTGAAAAAAAAAATTGAAATCCAGGTTAGAGCGAAGTTAATTCCCAACCTTTAGATTTGCAACTAGGGCTGTTATTGAGCTTAGCCGAGCCGAGCTTTGTCATAGTTTGGGCTCGGCTTGTTAATAAATTTCCAAGCTCGAGTTCGGCTTGTGTTCGTCACGAGCTTTAATATGCAAGCTCGAGCTCGGCTCGTTTATGAAAATGAAAGCTCGGCTCGTCAGATAAGGTTAACGAGCCCAAAATCGAATTTAGCTTATTAAATATTCATAGTAGCTCAAGATTGATCTAAAACTGCGCACAAAAATACATTCAAACCTGTAGCAAAGTCTAGAAAAATAAAACACAACATTTTCCCCCAATTTCAATACATAAAATCCATGAATTCTTATCCTCTCTTATGCCAAAACGTTAAATGAGCTTGTTCGCGAGCTTTCGAGCTGAACATGGTATGGCTCAAGTTCGGCTCGTTTAGTTAACGAGCTTGTTCGCGAGCCGGCTTGATTAAGACGAATCGAGTTTCGAACTAGATTTTCTCGAGTAGGACGCCGAGCCATTCATGAGCGGCTTGGTTCATTAACAGCCCTAGTTGCAACCCACTTAAAAAAATATCCGATTAAAAAACAAGAAAAAATAAAATGCTTTTAATTCCCAACCTTTAGAGTTGCAGCCCACTTAAAGGGAAGGATACAGATTTAGTTATGCAAGTTAAGCACATAGTGGGAAACGATGTAGTAGCCACTATGACTGGGATTTTGGAAATAGGAGTAATGTTGGAGAATCTGAACCATACGCTCATTGCTCTAATCCCAAAGTTTAAGTCTCCAAATTCACCTAAGGTATTCAGACCAATAAGCCTATGTAATGTGCTCTATATATTGGTAGCGAAGATCTTAGCAAACAGATTGTAGCCTCTTATATCGGTGGAGCAAAGCGTGTTTGTCCCTGGGCGATTTATCACAGACAATATCATGGCTGCTTTTGAGTGTTTTCACCCATGAAGAAGAAGAAGAAGGCTAATACGGGGTTTTCGCAGTAAAAATTGATATGACAAAATCCTATGACAGAGTGAAGTGGCATTTCCTAGAGGGAGTGATGCAGCGAATGGGGTTCTCGACGAGATGGTGTGAGATGGTGATGATGTGTGTGAAATCAGTAACGTACTCGATCCTGGTTAACGGAAACCAATCTCTGAGCTTTGTTCCGAGTTGACACGTCGAGGTCTTCTCCCAGGTGACGCACTGTCTCCGTATTTGTTCCTGCTCTGTGCGAAGGGTCTATCGGCATACACCAAGAAGACAGTTTGGGAGAAGAGTTTCCATGGAATTCAACCGGCCAAGGGAGCTCCGCATGTGTCTCACCTCTTCTTCGCTGATGATGTGATGTTCTTTGGCAGAGCGAATGCACCGGAAAGTCTGACTCTCAAGACAATTCTCAAGGTGTACGAGAGAGAATCGGGACAGCTTGTGAACTTCCAAAAATCGGAAGTTTCCTTCAGTGGTAATGTAAAACCCCCCACCAGAAGCTTATCGTTAGCGGAACTTTAGAGATTGTGGCAGTTGAGAGCATAACAAATACCTGGGACTTCCGACAGTAGTAGGGGATCAAAGAAGGATATTTTTCAAGATCTCAAGGAAAGATTTTGAAAGAAACTGAAAGGTTGGAAGGAAAAGGTCCTTTTGGTGGCTGGTCGGGAAACTCTAATCAAAGCAGTGGCACAGACCCAATTCACATATGCCATGTCAGTGTTTTGAGTCCCGGATTGTATCATAAGCCAAGTCCATAGTATGATTACCAACTTTTACTGAGGCT